AAAATTAATATTTGAATTAGTTTTGAATTATATATCTTTCCTGATGATGCAAGAATTGTTTAGTCACAAACTAGTCTATTTAATAGACTAGTTTAACACCATTATTTAATAATTATCTATTTAATAGACTTATTAAAATAACTGTCGGTATACATAATTTAATAAGTCATCTACCGCCGTCGTTTGCTTTATTTACCCCAAGCAGTCACAACGCATAGAAATACCCACTAAAGTAAAATACAAAATAAACCCGGGAAGTCAACCTTGAACATGGTTACCTAAGTATGGTAGCCTAAATAGTGGAAAAAAGTAAACTGGACTGTGCACTTCCAGTGAAGGCTTCAGCTGTTTTATTGGTTAAGACAAACAGCTTAAATCATTTTTTCATAACATAATAGTTGAATTGTTTTAAAAATTCTGCCTTTTAGGTCTCGCAGATATGCCTCATGTCATCAGTTTACATGGTGGATGCACGGCTGGCTAGGGAGAAGAGTCCGCAGGGTCATTGCATCATGTGCAGTTACCAAAATAAGAAACAGGGTTTGCAAATGAAGACAGCGAGAAGTAGGATTTTAATAACATATAGCAGAGTAGTTGACATTTGAAAGCATTTTGTCAAGAAAACAATCTATGCAACAAAATAGGATATCAAACGAAATGTTAATGTTTAAATAAAAATGTTGCATGTTCTCTAAAATCAAATGTAAGTTTGAAGTATTACGTGTGCTTGACTACAATTAAATTTAAGACTCTGTGCATTTGAAGTATGCTGGTGTGTACGTCACGTGTTCGTAATGATGCAGCTACTTGAGACGTCAAAACTGCTGTGTTTGAAAAATGATCTGTGATCTGGATAATCTCTCTTGTGTTGTATTAGCTGTCATGTTGTTCTTGAATCTAACACAGAGGAGAGAACATCTGCAATCATAGCGGTCATGTAGCTATAGTCCTTTGCTCTGAATGTCTTGTGGACTTTGCTGCATGAGATTTTGAACTTGGGTTCACCAACACTCTCCCCATCTCGAAGAACTGCCTGTTCAAGAACACAAATATGGAAAATAGATACATACAAGGTGTTAGGAAGAGTTTGATGTGCAATATCCAGTGTCACGCAGTGCTCACAAGAGATAGGATTGATTACAGTTCACACACCTGTTCCCTGTTCACATTGTTGTTATGATCCAGAGCAGCAAGCATGGAGGCATGGATCATCACATGATATCCAAAATGTGTTCTCTTCGGGAGGTATTTCAGGTATATGGAGTGGTACACCTGAAACAAATTTGAATTTGAAATAAACTATTAAAATATGCGAGTCACATTCTGCCACATCACAATGACTAGAATATTTGAAGAGTTCAGTAATTTCACTTAAATAACAATTAATAGGTAATTATCATTGCCATTTAAGTGAAATTACTGAACTTAAATATACAAGCTTGATAAAAATCATCATTAAAGAAGAAAATTTCAAATGGCATTTAGAGGCTTTTGCATCTGAACTCTTCATTTATTAACCCTTGTAGACATTTTTTGGCTTTATTTTTTGATAACTTTGTGTTCATGCTAACTGCATACAATTTGCCACAGGTGTGTTTTTATTTTAACATTTCACCCCATTTCCTTTATAAAAATAAAAAAAACTATTTTGCTCTAAGTACACAAAATACCCAGTCGTTTTGCCAAAAATTGAAACCCATTAAAACTGATTTTTAATGCCAGTGCCATTTAACTATAAAATGTTGCAATCTTTGTTAAGATTCATTCTGTTGGCAAGGCTTCAAAATTTAAATTTTTACTATTTTTTTTTTTATCAGATGGCGCCATTTTTTCAGGTTTGGCCTATAAAGCAAATACACGCTTTATTCCTGTTTTCTGCATCAGCATTTTATAGAGCCAATTGGATAAATTATGCCACGATGTGTGTGGGTGAGTTGGTATAGATGTCAGACTAGATGTCAGACAGTCGAGTTTTTCTCTCTCAATATTACAATCACTGTATTTTGGGAGTTTTGCTGACACCTTCAGTCAGGTTTTTTGCAATAAAACCTCTAATTTGACATTTTTTTGGCTTTATTTTTTGATAACTTTGTGTTCATGCTAACTGCATACAATTTGCCACAGGTGTGCATTTTTATTTTAATATTTCACCCCATTTCCTTTATTAAAAAAAAAATATTTTGCACCAAGTACAAAAAATACCCACTCTTGGAGGAGTTTCAGACTCATATTCTTTCTTGAATACGAGTATGACGAAGTCAGGCTAATTTTGCAATAAAACCTCTAATTTGGAACAAACCTTAAATAGATGTATGACTTTGATTTTCTAGATGTTTTAGAGTTCAACTAGTTTCATATATTTAATATAAAATAAAGCTCAAAAATGTTTTTCATAAACTTTTTGGATTTACTTAATTTTTTTAGCAATAAATAATCAAATAAAGTGAATAATCTGCCATTTTAATTGATGCACAAGGGTTGAATATGCTTCTATATGATCATACCTCTAGTTTTGCTGTGTGGATGCACTTTGTCAGATGATCCAGGTCTTTCAAAAGCCGCTTGTGTGTCACAACCTTCACGAGTGCATTATGGGCTTCAGATCCTGGCTTTAACCAAAGCTTGCGTCTCTGGCTCGTCTCATCAAGGGGCTCGTGAGAACATTGGTGATAGTGCCTGTTCCCTGGCCAGTCGTGTCGGTTGGTAACATGGTGTATTACAGATATCCACTTCTCTTTCAACACTTCGGCATTACCGTCACAGCTTTGAGCACTCCACCACAAATGATTTACGATGGATGGTATCCACAGTCCCAGGCCTTCACATTCCCTTCTCTTAGCTTCAGTCGCCAGTTTTTTGGACACTCCTTTTGCCACATGCCAAGGGTCAAATTCATGGTGTTTTTCTGGATTACTGACCCTCATTTCTTTAATGATTTGTGGATGTCTGTCAGTGGAGATGGCTGAGACCTTCACTCCATTTTCTTCTATGGTTTTGAGAGCTTCTTTAAAACCTTTGATTTCCATGGTATTAGAGCTCGAAACTTGAGTGCAGCTAATTACCTTGAAGTCCACAACCTTTTGACTCTGTGCATCTAAAAAAGTATATGTACAGTATTTGGCGGGGTGCCCCGGAGAGTCACACCAGCCATCTCCACAGAGAACAACTTCTTCTTGTGATTTCATTGCAGTCAACACTGCACTCTGCTCTTTAATCCACGTTTTTTCAATGACAGGAAACACAAACTTCTTCCTCAGTGATGTGTATGTGTCTTCACTTATTGTTTTGAGGTTCATGTTACTACAGAAACGCTCAAATTTAGCAAAATGGATGCCACTGAAGAAAACTGATGCGGTTAAAAGCAGGTTTCCTATCCCTTCGGTCCCACTCAGAGTAGGCTGAGACTGCCATCTGTAACTGCAGCTCTTAGCACATGTGAGCTCAAGTGTCAACTGTGATCCTTCATTTTTTAGCTCTTTCACTTCTTCCTGGACAATCAGGGAGCCACACTTTAAACAACGCTGAAGCAATTGGTTTAACTGTTCCTCAAAAACTAGAAAAAGCCGCATTTCTTTATGCGTGTTTGTTGAAGCGTGTGATTCCTGGGTGCTTTGAGAAAATTCAGATGAACTTACAATGTATTCCGGATCAAAATGACTGTACTGTGGTGGTTGACTCTGTTTGCCAAGTTCATCATCTGAGAAGTACAGATCCTGGGAGTTATCAATGTCATCCTCCAGTACACCCTTTTCAATTTCACCTTCTCCTGTATAAATATAGTCCATTTTTACCGGGTAGTCCACATCAGCTGGCCACTGTACCGCTGCGTCCGACTGGCTAACCTCCGTCTGCGTTGCTGCATCAGCCATACTTGGAGAACACTGCAGGCTTAACGTTACAGTGGATTCATTAACAGCATCTGGTGGATTTTCGGTTAACATTACCTCCATGATCGGCGTAGTGCCGGATGATTCTTCTTTCGCGACTGCGGGAGCGGGTTGTTTACATCCCAGCAGTAGAGTGTCCACAGCCGCTTGCCTTTCTCGTTTGTTAGCGCGGCTTTCACTCGCTGTGTGCGGACGCTTATGCTTCTTGTGGGGGAAAATTGAAGGCACGGCATTTGGTTTTAGTCTTCGCTTGTAACTAGCTGCACCTGTGAGCTCTTTTAGCCGACTAAATACCTCAAACGCATCAGGGCTGAAGTGACGGGAACACAGCCGTGGGTCTTTAGGGAGTTGTACTCGTCCGCAAGCAACTTCCCACTCGTTTCTTATTTTCTTCTCCTTTGGAAAGGAGTGGAGGCTTACATCACTCCCCTTGTTGCCTTTGGACTGAAAATTACAACCAAACGCTGCACAATTTGGCATTGTATTCACTTTTCGGATGTACAGTTAAATTAAGCGTCATTCGCTCACCTCTTTATGTTCTGAACACAACCGAACTGACACAACAAATTGACGTCATCGACCCAGAATGCATTGCGCGCGCTAAAATAATGACTGCCTTCGTAGTTCAAATTCTGTAAACACTGTGAGGATTTTTTTAATAACGAAAACATTTGATGTATTTCTAATTATATATTTTTGTAGGAGAGAGCAATTGTAGCATATTTAGGCTTTTGTGTCTTGACAGTCTGAGTTCCTTTTAATGATGCGCAATATTAGAACCGATTCTGTTTTCTCAAAAATAATAAATAAATAAAAGGAGCGGGAAACAAAACAAAGGAAACTTGGAGGATTCATTGCCTTCGTTCGAACGAACTTGGTTTCAACAAGCAGCGGTAGGCGGGACTATATCATTTAATCCGCCTGTGATTGGTTCTCGTTCCTCTTATGATGCTTGGAGTTGTCCAATAAAGAACGAGTTTACGGGTTTGGCCAATGAAAACAGACAATCAGAAGGTTTCCCCATCCCGTTCAAAATTAGCATAGAGCAGTCAATAAATTCCTCTTTATCGCACTGTAGCTTACATTGTCTCGTCAGTCTTGTGATAGCGCATCATCATGCCTGAACCAGCAAAGTCCGCTCCTAAGAAGGGATCCAAGAAGGCCGTCACCAAGACCGCCGGTAAGGGAGGAAAGAAGCGCAGAAAGTCCAGGAAGGAGAGTTACGCCATCTATGTCTACAAAGTCCTGAAGCAGGTCCACCCTGACACCGGCATCTCCTCCAAGGCGATGGGCATCATGAACTCTTTCGTCAACGACATCTTCGAGCGCATCGCCGGTGAGTCGTCTCGCCTCGCGCACTACAACAAGCGCTCCACCATCACTTCCAGAGAGATCCAGACCGCCGTGCGTCTGTTGCTGCCCGGAGAGCTGGCCAAACACGCCGTGTCCGAGGGCACAAAGGCCGTCACCAAATACACCAGCTCGAAGTGAGGCGTGCCCGACTTCAATTACCCCAAAGGCTCTTTTAAGAGCCACACATCTTCTCAGAAAAAGAGATTTTGAGTTTTTTTTTTTATTTCCTTATATATATATATATATATATATATATATCTTCACTCTTGATACTTCGAGAAATTTATCAATATGCCAACGTAAAAACAAGTCTCAAATTTCTTAAGAGCCACCCATCTTCTCGGATAAAGAGCATTTTTTTCTCTTTTTAAATGTTGGAAAATACAAACGTGTCCTTCACTTTTTTGTTCTCAACTCAGAAAAGTTTCAACTTCCTAGATTTTAGAGTAGCATTGATCAGACTTTTGCCGTCTTTTTTTACACACCGGCTTCTTGTGGGTTTACTCAATTCAAAATTAGCTAGAAGTTTTAATAATACCTGCTTAAAAATAAATATGTATATATAATATATTCCTTTAAATGAGGGTCTAACTCCACCTGCTCCTTTTAAGGCTAGTATCTAATGTAACTTTGAGAGCAATGATACAGGACAACTTTTAGAGCAATGCTGCTGGGGAATCTTTCCGAGCGATTGTTGCTTGGGCACTTACCCATTGAAAATGGGCAATACATTTCTATCAGTCGTGGGCCCTGCATCTCATCTAGTTGCTAGACTAGTCATCTAGTCTCTCTCTCTCTCTCTCTCTCTCTCTCTCTCTCTCTCTCTCTCTCTCTCTCTCTCTCTCTCTCTCTCTCTCTCTCACACACACAAACAAAAGTTTTCTCAGTTTTGGTTCAGGGTTAAAGAGAGATGGTGTATATTTGGTTTAATGTGTGAGGCTCAAAATCTCCTCACTAATATAGTGAATCATGAGGAAAATTATTATTCATAATTGTTTTTCAATGTTTACATTTAAAATGTTTAAACATCATTGTAGTTATTATCTGCTCAACTCTAGTGTCCTCTTTAGTCCTAATCCCAATTTAACAAGTAAGATTTATATTTTTATTTACGTTATATGATGCACATCAGCTTACTAAAATTATATCTATTTTTAATACCAATTATTATTATTTACAGATGATCTGCTGGCCAGTCACAGTGAGACTCGGAGCCTCCAGATTCCCGTGTGCTTCAAGCTGCCCAAAACAACACTATTTCAGAATGTTTGCTGAACACACAGAGTGCTCAGGCTTTTATCAACCTTTACACTTAAACTATCCATCAAATTTACACGCGTCTCTTTCCCCGTGGCTGATGCTCGCCTTGGATTTGATCTGACAGAAACTAAATAAACATTTCCTCTGCTTGGTGTTCAGTTTGTTTTGACAGCGCAAAACTATTTTACCAGTCCAGTTTTTAACCAAATGCAAGAGAAGAAAACACACGAGAGAAAGGCTTGTTGGCGCGCACAGACGCCGAGTGGGTAGGTTGAGTCTATAAGGTTCTCAAGTGTTTTTTAATAGTGCAGCGCCGCGAGAGCGCCATTCAGTGCTGAAACGAAAGTAGTTTGAAAGACTGTTGATCGAGAAAGATAAAAATGGCAGAAACCGCTCCCGCACCCGCTGCTGCAGCCCCGGCCAAAGTGCCCAAGAAGAAGTCCGCTGCTAAAGCCAAGACAGCAGGTCCAGGCGTCGGCGAGCTCATTGTTAAAGCGGTGTCCGCATCCAAGGAGAGGAGCGGCGTATCCCTCGCCGCGCTGAAGAAAGCGCTCGCTGCCGGCGGATACGACGTGGAGAAGAACAACTCCCGCGTCAAGATCGCCATCAAGAGCCTGGTGACTAAAGGCACCCTGAAGCAGGTCAAAGGAACCGGCGCCTCGGGCTCATTCAAGCTCAACAAGCAGCAAGCCGAGACCAAGAAGAAACCGGTCAAGAAAGCGGCTCCTAAAGCGAAGAAGCCCGCGGCCAAGAAACCCGTCGCTGCCAAGAAGCCCAAGAGCGCAGCAGCAAAGAAGCCCGCCGCCAAGAAATCGCCCAAGAAGGCCAAGAAGCCCGCAGTCAAGGCCGCTAAGAAGGCGACGAAGAGCCCCAAGAAGGCAAAGAAGCCAGCAGTCGCTAAGAAAGCAGCCAAGAGCCCTAAAAAGACAAAGGCTGCTAAACCCAAAGCCGCCAAGCCTAAAAAGGCAGCGCCCAAAAAGAAATAAATTCCAGTGTTTGTTCCTCAACGGCTCTTTTAAGAGCCACCCACTAACTCTGAATAAGAGCAAAACTCGTTTATATCAATGATATGTGTTCATTTTAAAAGCAAGTGTGATATTTACCTCTTTGGGCTCATTCATTCTGAACAAACAAATCAAAACAGTTTTGAAGAAGACTATATATAAATAATCTTATCCATTATTTATATAAGAAATGTATTGTAAGTGGCAAAGAAAGAAAAGCCAAGGAGGGTTCAGACAGTGATCACATTAAATAAGACAGAATATACACACTGCTGGAGAATTGTGACAATACAAACAACCCACATTCAACAATATGGGCACTGATTAGATCCCAATATTACAATAGGAACATAATACTGAGCAATATCAGACGGCCAATGTGCCCAGACTGTGTGCGTGTGAAAAGTGCAGCACTTTTGGAGATATATATATATATATATATATATATATATATATATATATATATATATATATATATATATATATATAACATATACAGTATATATGTCATTATTAATACGTGTGCATAGTGCATAACAATCCACGCCAGGGATTGGGCGGGGTTGGGCTTTCGGGGATTTCAGTAAGTTCAGTGATTGGTTTGAATATTTACAGACTCTAAACCAATGGGCGAGTGGAACACTCGTTTAAAGACAGTGTGTGGAGACTGGCACTACTATCATTGATCAGTACTACATACTGTGATAATTCAACTGAAAATGAGCGGCAGAGGCAAAACCGGCGGTAAGGCCCGAGCAAAGGCTAAGACTCGCTCCTCCAGGGCGGGACTGCAGTTCCCCGTCGGCCGTGTCCACAGGCTCCTCCGCAAGGGAAACTACGGCGAGCGCGTCGGTGCCGGAGCTCCTGTTTATCTGGCGGCGGTACTCGAGTACCTCACCGCTGAGATCCTGGAGCTGGCCGGAAACGCCGCTCGGGACAACAAGAAGACCCGCATCATCCCCCGTCACCTGCAGCTGGCGGTGCGTAATGACGAGGAGCTCAACAAACTTCTGGGCGGAGTGACCATCGCTCAGGGCGGCGTGCTGCCCAACATCCAGGCCGTGCTGTTGCCCAAGAAGACTGAGAAACCCGCCAAATCTAAGTAAAAGGAGGACAAACTCGGTTACTGAAACAAAGGCTCTTTTAAGAGCCACCTATTTTATCTGTTGACGAGCGCTTTTCTCTGTTAATATTTATAAACAATTTTGGTCAAGGAGGAAAATAATCCACCTACACAACAGAGTGTCTATCTCCACCGTTGACATTAGGTACATGCTATAAGAACATGCTCACCTAATGTATGTTTACCACCCAATTCATTTCTTCTGATATTAAAATTTAGTTGCCGTGCTTTGACTATATTGAATATTTTAATAAAGGGTAATATACATGTCGGCTTCAGGGAAAAAGGATTTGATCAATGTGCCTTCTTCTATTAGATTTTTTTGGCAGTTGGCACACAACGAAATGGTGTATTACTGCCACCAACTGGTATGGAGTGTGGAACTGAATGCCTTTTAGGCAACTTGGATCATTTCCCTCCCTTTTCCCTCATATTTTTTACAGTGTATCATGACGTGTTCTATTGTTACTTGTTGTTCGCAGTATTCACATCTGCCAGTGTTTATGTTTACCTATTTTAAATAAAGTATTGTTTAATCCTGTATGCCCAAATCTGAGTCTAGATATAATTGTCTCATCTCTCCTTTTCCTTGCCATACATCTCATTTCCACCACTTTCCACTGAATTTTATAAAACCACCGTTCTTTCTTCTTCCCATTGCTTTTGCCACCTTTTCTTCAAACGCTGTTTAAAAATGCTCTTCATTTCCGTCTTACTCATGTTAAGATCAATGTATTCTCGTCTCGTGGCCACCTTTGCAGCATTATCTGCCTTTTCGTTTCCTTTAAATCCAATAAGTGCTGGAACCCACGCAAATATAACTGTAATACCCATCATTTGAATTCTATATAATGCTTGATGAATCTCTATTAATACATCGGTTCTAATGATTGCTCTGTAAAATAAATAATGATGATGCTGAATCTGAACAAATAATAGTTCTTAACGGTCTTACTTCCACTATCCACTGTACTGTTAACAAAATTGCTAGCATTTCTCCTGTGTATACTGACACATTATCACTGATTCTTTTTGCTGCTAAAATATTAAACTCTGGAACAAAAAAAACGCTACTTCTACTCTATTATCTAAACTCTTTGATGCATCTGTGTAAATCTGAATTTAACTATTATAATTATCAATATACTCCTGTACATCATTCGAGTCAAAAATGAACCCCATGCCTTTGTTCTTCATTCCTAATAAAACTAGATCTACTTTTACTTCTGGCAATATGCAAGGTGGTTGATCAATGTTCCTCTGCGTCTCTGTCTATTATCAGGGCTGATCTACTGATCCCCTATTTCACGGGGAGGATGGAAACCTTAGTAGTGTGTGTCTCGCTGTAGTGCTTTTATACAGACTGTAATGTTTTTGTTCTAATCTGAAATCTGCACAACCACTGGAACTTACATACAAACAAATACAATGTTGTAAAGGCGCCCAAAGTAGTCAACGGAACAAAACAGCTCGAGCGGGTTGTTTGAAAAGAGGAAACGCGCAGTCATTGGCTGGCACTCATGCGTAGGCGTCACCTACTAACCAATCACAAGGCCTGCATAATCGTGACACTATGAGCTCGTGGCGCCTCAATGCTTTAAAATCGGGCGTGTAACACAGAGAGTAACATATCCAGCGCAAGCAGGACAGAGAGAAGAAGACCGCAGCAATGGCAAGAACCAAGCAGACCGCTCGTAAATCAACCGGTGGTAAAGCCCCGAGGAAGCAGCTCGCTACTAAAGCCGCCCGTAAGAGCGCTCCGGCCACCGGCGGCGTCAAGAAGCCTCACCGCTACCGGCCCGGGACCGTGGCTCTGCGGGAGATCCGCCGCTATCAGAAGTCCACCGAGCTGCTGATCCGCAAACTGCCCTTCCAGCGGCTGGTGAGAGAAATCGCTCAGGACTTCAAGACGGACCTGCGCTTCCAGAGCTCCGCTGTCATGGCCCTGCAGGAGTCCAGCGAGGCTTACTTGGTCGGTCTGTTCGAGGACACCAACCTGTGCGCCATCCACGCCAAGAGGGTCACCATCATGCCCAAAGATATTCAGCTGGCCCGCCGCATCCGCGGAGAGCGCGCTTAAACCGGCGTCTGATTCAACCCACAACGGCTCTTTTAAGAGCCACCAAAGTTCACACTGAATGAGAGAATTCCCTATGCAGTGCTGACGATAAATCATATTAAAAATTGGTATATGGTTACAGTAACTTCCAGGTCTGAATAACCAACAGCAGAGTGGCGCTTTTTTGCTTTTCAAGAAAAGTTGCGGCACTGCATTGAACACAGTAACTTAATCTCATGTGAAAAGAAGGACAACATACAGAGAAGTACTGACAATATTGAAATCTGTCTGTTCTGGTTATGTTGTGACATCTAAATCGTCATTACAGGATCAAACGGAAGTGTCAGAGGTCAATCTATGTAGGTTATAAAGTGTTTTAAATTTCCTCTATCATAAACTAGTGTATACTGTGATCATGTGGGAGTGGAGATGAGTGTACTGTTTGCGGAGAATAATGTCAAATAACGCTATATTGGTGAATACTTGTGGTCTCGTTTTGTGTTTGAGAAGTGTATATTTCTTAGTCTTTATCTTTCAAGTCGAAGTAAGGACGTAGCTCAGACTTTCGTGAAGGCTATAACGAGATATATCCAGCTGTAGACCCGCAGCACCACCAGTTTCAGAACCCCAGTGCCAGAACCGGAAGTGAGGGAGGGGCGGAATTATTATTATTGCATTATAATTATTTTAGCAAGAATGTAAGGACAAAATGGGCCTGAGAGTGAGTTCCTCATTTGATACATTGTAAGTTAAATTTATACAAGATTGTTGTGATAAAGAAGGCCTACGGGGTTGTTTCGTTTAAAACAATGGCGGATTTTCTCTCTCTTTTTTAGATTTTGACATTATTATTTTACACGAAAGAAATGCATGCTGCACATGTTCTTGTGAAATAAAGTATATTTTATAAAAATACCCATGCGTTTTTTTTAAATTAAACAATCAAAATCATCTTACAAATACATATCTTCAATATCAAAACAATTTAAGATTTTGTAAACACAATAAATAAATAAATAAATAGAACATAAAATATCACAGCGGTCTAATCAGTTATCGAATTGTGAATAATTTTGAAAACCTCCAATGCGTGTCTTGTTTTATATCTTTCAAAGCTTTATTATACAAAGTTAACTCCTTTATAAAAACCAAAACACAAAGGTCTTACCTTCATAAATCTACACGTATGCATAAACTGCGTAGCTAAAATTAATAAACTGTTATACATTAAAATGCCCGTAAGTTTAAAGTATTATTTTTTATCATGATCAGGAAGTAACTCATAATACAATGAAACGGATAACTGAAACTATATACAATCATATTACACAAAATCAATGTTTTAAAACGCTTATTGTACTGTAGGCTAATGTAGCATCATAACATACATGCCTAGAGAGTAGGACATTTCATGTTCAATAAAAGCTGCTTCATGTGTAAAATATAAAATACCCTCCAAATTACATTAGGTGGCGTTATTAGGTTTCGAACCTAAGCTCCGCCCCTTACTTCCGTGCTGCGGGTGTGCTGCGGGTCTGCAGGTGGATACTATAGGCTATAACTGCTGTGATCTTTGTAACTGTAAGAGAGTTACAAAGATCATTACAAAGATCACTGCCATTACAATCATCATCACATGTTGGACTGATTCTGATTGATTGCAATATAAACACACTCCATTTATATGTCTACCTAATAGATGAGGTGTCTTTTTGAGCCCTGTATGTCATCCTTTCTTCACTTTGATTTTTACTCATCTCCCTTTTCATGCCAAAAGAGCTTTGAATATTATACAAATGTCTTCCTGTATCATTGATATCCCAAAGTGTGATCTTTTATGTCTCAGTTTCACTTAATGCAACCTGTAAATCAACTTTTGTTGATTTAAGGGATTCAAGGGGTTGGTGGGTTAAGGTATTGTTTAGCCAACATAATCCACTTCTTCATTTCCTGTCACAAAACATCTGCAGGAACACAAATCATACACTCACACCTTTATTGTGTAATCTGTATTATTTGATATATTTCAATGGACTTTATGCACAGCTGCACCACTTCCTGAACTTAAGCCAGCTCCATGTTTCCTGTCTGCCATTATTGGCCAAATTGATTAATCCAGCTGTGCCTGACCTCAGTAGTCACGGGAACAATAATCAGACACACCTGAATTAATTAAGTTCGGCCAATAATGGCTGACAGGAAACAAGGAGCTGGCTGAAGTCAGGAAGTAGTGCAGCTGTGCATAAAGGTCAATTAATAAAAAAAATTAAAAAAAAAAGGTCAATTAGCATTTCAGGCAAGCATGAGTTCCCTGATTTTATGCTTGTGAGTGCCAAACTATCAGATGCAACTGAAACATGTTGTGTGTTATATTCATCTACCCACTGTAATCCCAATATAATGGCTACCAGTTCTACTGTATAAACTGAAAGATTATCTGTTGTTCTTTTGTATGTCCATTTCCTTAAACCATCTGTGAAAATCATTATTTTATTAAGAAAATTACTTTCTAAGTATCTTTGTACAACAAACCAGACAGGTATTTGCTTTGAATTATCTTTTATTTCCTCATGTTTTTGTAAATCAGTCATTGGCATTACTCTAAAAAATGCTGGGTTGTTTTATCCCATCTTTGGGTCAAACTCAGCCATTGGGTTAAATGTTTAAATGTTTGGGTTTGTCCATGTTTGACGATCATTTTGGTTAAAACAACCCAGCATTTTTTAGAGTGATATTTGAATATCTGACAGTAGGACAATATTGTATACTATTCAAACCTACTTCTCTTGCTTTTTTATTCACAACCCATCCAAAACTCTGAAAATTAGATTTACTATGTTCCCAACATTCCTGTGTAGTCTTTGCAGAAATGTATGTTCTTGCAGGTTTCCTCAATATGCTAGTATTAGTGTAAGTCTTCTGATACCCAACGGCATCTGCTGCAACTGGAGATGTTTTAAAAACCCACTACATATTCGTAGGGCTTGAGCTTGTTTTATATTGTTCAACCCTTCGGAGTCTTGGGCTATTTTGGCCCTTTTTGAGTACTTTTTTATTTTTTTAATTTTGCGACATAAACAAATGTTTACTATACCAATTTTTGGTACCATTTTTTTTTTTCAGCACAACATCACCTATATGACCAGACAATTAGTTTATCACTTTGATGTACTGTATCAACATACTGGACCCAAAATCACACAAAAAACACAAAATCCGAATAGAAATATTATAGCTTTTCTACTACTAAAAACACAAACATGCTCAATCAAGCATTTTAAAAGGTTTAAAATGTAAACACAAGTTGTAAATGTCAAAATATACAGGAAAAATTCAGATGTAATCAAGCTATATACAAAAAAAATATGATTTACAAAAAAAGCAAGTGTAGCCATAGGCTTTTTTTTTTTTTTTTTCATTTTAGCTTTGCCACTTTAAAAAAAAAAAATGTGCACACAAATATAAACCATTTCACAAGATGTAAACAACACTGGTCCAGAAGCACTTCCTGTTTCAGTTTTTTAACACTACATAAAAGCTGGGATAAAATACAACCAACAGAACATTTAAAACTGAATCAAAAAGTTAAACAAACATCTTTAAGATGTTTTCTTTACATGTGAAATAAAGAAAACAGTTACAAACTGAAACAGGAAGTGCTTCTGGACCAGTGTTGTTTACATCTTGTGAAATGGTCTATACAGAGAACTATATTTAAGGCCTTACATTCCCCTAGTATGAGGGTTTCCAAATAGTGCAAATACAACATAAAAAAAGGTAAAATTGAGGTAAAATGAAACTATACAGCAAAAAGCAGGTGTGGCAATAGGCATTTTTTGTTTTCTTTTTTGCTAAGAAACTACAAAACACTTCATGTACAATTACACAGCTAGCTACATTCAATATATTTAGAATTTTCTTGCATTTTGTTTTCATTTTATCAGTGTGTTGTCTGTAAGCTTTCTATCAAATAAAACTCCAAGAAATCGAATCACCCTAACTTGCTCAATTTTTTTATTCTAGATGTCGACCCCTAAGGGCCCATCATTCGCCACATAATGATTTTCCTATACCATGTTCAACTTGTTCAAAAATTTCATTTGTCCTTATATTAAATATCAGTGGACTACATACACTACCTGCAGTGTTCTGTTTTCTACAAAGTGCATTCTAGAACCAATTCATTTTGTTTTGTAAGGATTACTTCTTTCCACAGCATATAGATATCAAAAAAGAAAGACAGCTATTACCATTTCTTTATTTGTCAAGCCTTTCCTAATCTCTGATAGACATAATTAAATCCATAGAATTTCACCTTTGTGAAATAAATTACACAAATTGCAGTATGAAACAAAGGTTACGGTTGGAATTAAATCGCATGTGCTCGCCTCTAACTATATTTTTGGGGGAGGGGTGTGTCATGTGACGCAGAGCTGGTTTCTGTCAGGTCCTGTAAACACATGTAAAAGACTTCCTTGTAATATAGTCAGTATTTGTAGCCTTTCGTTCTTTGATTGAAGCGCTCATTGTTGAATATGTCTGGAAGAGGCAAAGGCGGTAAGGGACTCGGGAAAGGAGGCGCTAAGCGTCACCGTAAAGTTTTGCGCGATAACATCCAGGGAATCACCAAACCCGCCATTCGTCGTCTGGCTCGCCGCGGCGGCGTCAAGCGCATCTCCGGTCTGATCTACGAGGAGACCCGCGGAGTGTTGAAGGTGTTTCTGGAGAACGTGATCCGCGATGCCGTCACCTACACCGAGCACGCCAAGAGAAAGACCGTCACCGCCATGGATGTTGTGTACGCGCTGAAGAGACAGGGACGCACCCTGTACGGCTTCGGGGGATAAACGCCTGAAACCAGGACAAACCACACAAACCCAAAGGCTCTTTTAAGAGCCACACACTCTGACACATAAAGAGTCAATGTTTCATGTCAAATCAAAGAACTTAAGTTTCAGAAGTTCTGTGTTCTCAATCACATCACATTTAAGAAGTCGTAAATGTTTCACAGTAAGTCAATGGGTCGAGAATATCGATACCTTTTTCTACTTTTAATGTAATAAATACTAAATTAAACCTTTTTGTTTTAAACAGTAATCCTTTCCACAAACGCTTTTCCACAAAATCAACAAGAAAAACAAGTAATTATATAAAAACGGTACCAGTTAGCAGGAATGAGAATGCAGGAACGAAGATAATATTTCTGTTTTTAAACATCTAACCAATGACGTTTTTAAAGTGTATCTGACCATTATTGGTCTGTTTTCTCCAAAACTCGCTCAATGGGCTTATAAGAAGTTTTAAAATTACACGATCATGCACAATATTAGAACCGCTTATTTTCCTCAGAAAATATTACTAAATAAAAAGAGCGGGAAACGGAACAAATGAAACTTGGCGGAAGTGTGTATGTAGTTCAAACATGAGACGGTGGGCGGAACTATATCTTATCCACACCTGTGATTGGTCCTCGCTCCTCTCAAGCTGTCCAATGAAATGTAAATGTGTGGGTTTGGTCTATGAAAACAGACAATCAGATATTTCCCTAACACTTTGGACATTAGCATAGAGCAGTGAATAAATGCCTCTGTGTCGCACTGTTGCTTACGTTAACTCGTCAGTCTTGTGATATCGCATCATCATGCCTGAACCAGCAAAGTCCGCTCCTAAGAAGGGATCCAAGAAGGCCGTCACCAAGACCGCCGGTAAGGGAGGAAAGAAACGCAGAAAGTCCAGGAAGGAGAGCTACGCCATCTATGTCTACAAAGTCCTGAAGCAGGTCCACCCTGACACCGGTATCTCCTCCAAGGCGATGGGCATCATGAACTCTTTCGTCAACGACATCTTCGAGCGCATCGCCGGTGAGTCGTCTCGCCTCGCGCACTACAACAAGCGCTCCACCATCACTTCCAGAGAGATCCAGACCGCCGTGCGTCTGTTGCTGCCCGGAGAGCTGGCCAAACACGCCGTGTCCGAGGGCACAAAGGCCGTCACCAAATACACCAGCTCGAAGTGAGGCGTGCCAGACTTAAACTACCCTAAAGGCTCTTTTAAGAGCCACACATATTTTCAGTTAAAGAGTTTTTCTGTGTTGTCTAATGCTCTTAATTTTATGTGAATTTTGAGTTTGTCAATAAAAAACAGACTTGGGTTCCTGAGAAGATTTAGGCTGAGCTCGTTTTATAACCCCGATTCATCCCTGTCTTTCTCTTCCTTGGAAATGGCCGAAACTGATCAGCTTTATCTATTTTGTGTAAATCTTATCAAACGCCAAACCGTGAGCGGTTCTTTACACTTTGTGCGTGTTTAGAAGTGTTTTACCTTCCAACGGACATTCATGCATTATTATACCAATGAAAAAATAATATTAATGAAAGTTAACAATCACTGTTCATTAACAGTGTTTTTAACAAAAAAATATATCTAAGAAAAAAACATTTTTCTAAAATATCTGAGAAAAAAAATCTTAAGTTTGCAGAAGTATACAGACACCATCATGTGCTGACACTTTTTTTAAAAAAAAGAATAAAGATGTTTTATACTTTTTTAAATTAGTTTACTGTTTTTCTTAGATTTTGCCATTTTAAAACGTTAACATTTGTTTTGTTCTAGTTTCATCAGTCATGTGTGCAGATACAAGTTAAATGCAAAAACTTTATTTCCATGTATTTACTGTTCATGTTTGAGTAAAATTACCCTTTTTTATACCATGGTCTGGGTGAATACTCGATTCTGATTGGCTGCAGGGTGTCCGTTAAAAAGTGATAGAGGACACCTAGTAAAGTAGTTCTGGTGAAACTGCCTGTTTACCATTCGAAATTAATAAATAAATGCGCTGCCTACAACGGCTGTGAGTAACCATAGCAACAGGCAGTCACATGCTCTATCATCTAAAGTTAGATATTATAGCCTAATACAACAATGAGCGACTTCGTGCTATTTCTTTTAACATTTATGGAGAATATGGCAACTTTGACGACTGGTATGCTGCTGAAGAAAGAAAAAATGTAAATAAAACGGAGAAAATTACACCGCTGCTGCTCTGCTCCATTGAACGCTATTGGTAACGACGTAACTTGCGACCATAGTTGGATAACGATGCTTTCGGGAAACGCACCCCTGAATGAGACCCTGCGGGAGTTTTACGCAGCTGTCCAGACAACCAAGGCAGGAGAAGGCTGAACGTTACAGCGTTTCAAGCCTAAGGAGAATGAGGCAAATGACCCTCTCTTTGATCTGATTAATTTAGAGCTAGGTTTTTTTTTATTGTTGTTTGATTAATTGTTTTATGTGTAATAAAAAAAAAAACTATGCCTACCTACCTTTGTGTTTCATGAAAAAAAAAAAAAAGCATTTGTGAACCCGAAGGGATACGAGCTAAGCGGACTATAAATATCTCCGGTTGCTAAATAAACAGTCAGGCAAGGCAAGTTATTATTTGTAAAAACTAGATTTAGCCTAATTAAAATATAAACTAATGTTTTAAAAATGTTTAATTTGGCAAGTGACCATGGTATAAGCGGGTTAATGCCCTCCGAGGTGTCCATTGTCAGGTTTTAATGGACTTCGGCGGAGGCAACCGTCCTCCGCTGCGCGTCGGCCGGTTTACGCCTCGTAGCTTACATAAACTACTACCAACTTTTCTTCCAATTTTCAAGTAAAACATTATTGTCTTTTTTATGGAAGTATAACAATGTCAAATATTTTTAAAACAAAAAGCATGTTGAATTGCACGAACTGAAAAAAATTGCGTTAAATGCTTGCATTTTAATCCATTGTAGTTTTAAGGCTTGCATTTTTATGGGCTGAAACTCAACATGGTTGAATATTTAAGCTGTGAATATTTCAATTAAAAACATTTCAAACACATTTTCATTATTAAAAATGCAATAATCCATATTCACCTTTCATGTTTCACTTCCAAAATTTTCTGTTTAAAAATACAATATACATATAATATTCAACAGGCAATTTTCGGTTCATTTTATTTCGCCTTGAAAATTTGCTTCCTCAAATTCAGTGGTTCAAATTCTACAGTAAATACTGCAGGAAAAGCAGTAGATTGCCGAGCATATTCTCCATCTACTGTTAGTCGGCTTTACCAGCAGGGGGTGCAAGCGCGTGTTGACAACATATAGACAGTAAGGTTGACAAGCATGGATATGTATAAAGGCTAGAAGTGTTACGGCGGAGTTTCCATTGTCATCACCGGCGGCCATCTTGTCACAGACAAGCTGATGTAAGATGAGTGGTCAGCACGAACACAAATACTCTTATCTCGTTGAAATCTTGACGGATTTACAAACGGTTTGGTTTCTTACAAACGTTATTAACGTGGCTATAATTATCTTGATGATTATTTATTTATACACTTTTTATTCATAAGTATGCAGTGTCATAACTACATCTCTGACGTTTATAACAAAACAAACCGTTTGAAAATCGGTAGAAAATTGAGTAAGTTATGGTCATTTAAATAGTACGTGTACCATTAACACAATGTTACGAGTGAGCGAGCTGCCTGTGACAAGATGGCCGCCAGGTGCAGACGCCGACCATCATTGGCCAGCAGCGTGGACAACATATCTAGCCTTTATATACATATCTATGTTGACAAGCACCAAAGCAACAGCTAGAGAGCGAGAGGCCTTCACAAATCGTCATTTGCTGAAATGGACAGAGCGATGAGTACAAGTTATAATTTATATGTGTGTGGAAAAGGTTAATTAAGACACAAAACACACAAGCGTTTACTCAAGGGTCTTATGAGACTTATTTTTACCCCCGTATGTATGTCCACTTCATTCAGAACTGTTCTGGTTCTGAGTGATGGGAAGTATCCAGTTAACGTTATTTCATCACCATCATCAGGGATCCTCGTCATCTTGTCTGCATGTGATCCTCTGGGTGTTGAGATTGAAGCAGGTTAACTTCTGCTTTCAGGTTTGACACAACATCAGCCTTCTTTTCACTGGGGATGTAGGGGAGAACGGGGCACAACATAACACTTTTTGACTTTGTTAATTTGTGTAAATCTGCTTGGGGTTTAGAGAATTTTTCCCCCACACATTAATTTCCCACATGTCTAGTACAATTATGTGGTTTTGTTTTTTTAATAGAGTGTATACTTTTTTCTTGATTTACCCTGAAAAAATGGAAGTGAAATGTGACAACATGCCCCATACGCAGGATACATTGTAACATCACCATATAACAGCTTAAAATCTGATCTAATAAAAAAATATTCAAGTCAAACCAAAATATTTTCTTAATAAAACACAATTATTCACTTTTTCATATAAAATAAATTGTCTAAATTAATGTGAAGGTAACCCATTTTGATCCCCCAATTTTACCAGCTATGTTATCACATGTATTTGATTCCTTCTATTTAAAAATAAACTTTTCAATTAGAGTAACTATAGTAACAGTTTGTAGTTGACCACTGACATTAATGATTATTATTAAAACATTTCCTACTATGTGATGTCTGCAAGACGGTCAGGAGGTTTGGAGACCCGGTTCTGATGATCGTCGTGATCAGGATCCGCTGCCAGACCCGAACCAGACACTGATCCAGGAGCTTCCAGGATATTTCACCCCTCAGTCTTCTGAGTTTTCTGTTTCTGTATCCACATGTCCGGCTGTCAAGAAGAGGGAGTTGCAGAGCCCAGATGATGGACGTCCATCCACTTCATCGAAACGCTCTTGCGGAGGTAAGAATAGGCTTTTAATGAAGAAGTTATGGCTCAGTTAATACATCATTTTTATCATTGAAAATAGAAAGGTGAAAAAATAAATTACAATTTGATGTGACCCCTAACATAGATTATTAATATTATTAAAAATGTTTCCCCAGAGTCTTCACCGGGCATCATGTCCACCTCATCTCTGTCCCCCTCTGTGGGAAATGTGAAGAGGTGGTTATGTGGGTTGAAGAGCTTCAGCAGCAAAGGCTCGCACATCGTCCAGAAGCGACGTGGCGATAGATCGAAAAGCCAATATGAACAGGGCGGTTGTGGCAACAGGAGTTTGTCCAGGATCAACAGCTTTGAGGAGTTTATGTGCCCTCTGCTGCCAGGTCAAGTTCCCATCAAGCCAACGAAGACGTCAAATGTCCTTATGGAGGCTTCACCTGTGAACAAGAGCTCGACAGGTGACACTGAAATAAGGCTGGAGAGTGTAAAGTGTACAGATAGAGATGTTGCTGTTTCATGCCTCAAGTTTTTATCATGTTTATGTCCGGTCACATTTACTGTTGCTCAGCAAAATTTAGCTGAAATTCTCTTGGATTTGTAACATTACAGATTAGAATTTAACAGTCAAATGTAAGTTATGTCATTGTATCTTTGCTTAATTTGATGTCAGGGATGTTTCTAATAATTCAATTGTTTTTCTTTATTTCAGAAAAACCTACAGAATGTACGAAGAGGAAAGGAACTGATTCTGTCCTCAACAGGCTACGGAAGGCTATGTGTTCGTTCCTCTGCTGTTGTGCTGTGGATGATGTAGAGCCTTTTGTTCCTACAGCAGATCTGGATCCTGATCCTTCATCAACTGATCCCCATCACTCCGCCGTCAAGCTAAATAATGGTAAATCTGAAGACCTTATTTCCAACAATGTTTTAAAGGGCACCTATTATGGAAAATTCACTTTTACATGGTGTTTGAACATAAATGTGTGTTGGCAGTGTGTGAGCAAAACCACCCTAGAATGATAAACCACCCAGTGGTTTGTACTTGAGGGTCTGGCTTTGGCTCCCTTTGAGCCCATTGAAGAGGTTTCAGAAAAATTCCTCACCCTAAAAACCTTATTTCTCCTTGCTATTTCGTCTATCAAAAGAATTGTAGATTTGCATGCCCTGTCGGTTGCTCCTTCATGTCTGGAATTTGCACCTGGTATGGTCAAGGCATTTCTCTACCCTAGAACGGGTTATATTCCCATGGTCCCAGTTAATGTTGGGGGCCTTATAGTGCTGCAGGCCTTTTATTCTCCACCTTTTAATACCCCAGATCAGGAACGACTGAACCTGTTATGCCACTTCGGGCATTACGTTCACAGAGCTGCCCTGTGGCGTAAGTCTGAACAATTATTTGCCTACTTTGGGTCACCCAAGAGAGGGTGCCCTGCATCTAAACAGGTTATGAGCAAATGGATAGTCGAGGCTATATCATTGGCTTATAAAGAGCCCGGTCAACCTTCACCTATAGCTGTATGAGCCCATTCTACAAGGAGTATGGTGGCCTCTATAGCCTTAATTTCGGGTGTTCCCCACTTTGATATCTGTAATGCACCAGGATGGTCCTCTCTACATACATTTGTCAGGTTTTATGACCTTGACCTCTCTACTCCA